CTGGCCAGCTCCCCCAACCCAGCATATTCTACAGTTATTCTTGAGAACTACAAGTGAGAATGGGGGTAGGGGTGGGAAGTGGGGGAGAACTGGGTCGGTCTAAGATCACAGGGAGGACTGTCCTGAGTATAGAAATGAGTCATATCATTTAATTTCTTTTGCTCAGCAACAGTTGGTGAGATTTGATGGTATCAACATTTTAAAACAAACCTGCCAATTATACTTTTAAGTATATCCAGTGGAACCTAAATGCCATAGTGATGTGTTATACACTGTCATCTTTTACAAAGGTATACACAAAAAATCTTTCCTAAACATTGGGAAAATTTATATTTCATCTTTCTCCTTGACTTGAATTTCTGTTCTACTTCTCCCATAGAATTTTACCTAACAAATACAGTTTTATGCTTGAAAGTCTTTACTACTCCATTATATTTTTTTTGCCATAAAATTATGTCTATTGATTAAAAATTTTTGTTTCTTATGAATATCAGACTCTTAGTGACAGTTTATTTTATATTTAGTTATAACTTAGAATATAATTGACCAAAATAATATCAATGTATTAATATGGAATAATATATTACAAATTTTGATAAATAATTATTAAATCAAAAACTACACTTGATTAGAATTGTTTCTTAATAGTTGTGACAGGAAAAATACCAGCTACCCAATGATGTTTGTATCTTAGTGTCTGTGACCTGTGAATATATTAAGTTACAAGGCATAGGGGAATTAGGTTTTAGAAGGAATCAAAGTTGCCAATCAACTGACCTTGAGATAAGTCTGGGTGGCCTAGGTGGGCCCAGTGTCATGACAAGGATCCTGATAAGTGGAAGAGGGAGAAAGGAGAGAGAGAACCAGAAAGACTTCAGCATGAGGATGACAGTCTCATGCTGCAGGCTTTGAAGGTAGAGGAATTAGGCTATGAGTCAAGGAAAAGGCAAGAAAATGATTCTGCCCTGGAGCCTCCAGAGGGAGGGCAGCTCTGCAAACACTGAGATTGTGGCCTTCTAAAACCCTTTTCAGACTGACCCCCAGAAATGCAAGATAATTATTTTGCACTTTTAGAGACACTCAGTTTGTAATAATTTGTTATTACAGCAATAGGAAGTGAATTTGATTGTTCAGTATGGTCTTTTGCTAAAATGACATAGGGCACAGTATCCATTTTATTTTTAATTCCTTTAATAGGCAGTGGAAAATAAAATATTTTATGTGATAAGATGGCACGAGGAGAGACTATAGTTGGAAAAAATTTTATTAAGTGTCTTGTTGATCTGCAAGAAATCATTTCAGTGTTTTATCTGTGAGTTTTGTCAGGAATATGTTAAAAATGTATTTCCAGAAAAATTCTGTTTACATTATTTATTTTTATAGACAGGGTCTTGCTTCATTGCCAGGCTGGCCTGCAGTGGCATGATCATGGCTCACTGCAGCCTCAAACTCCTGGGGTCAAGCAATCCTCCCACCTCAGCCTTCCAAGTGCCACCATGCCTGGCTAATCTTAAAAAAAATTTTTTTTTTTGTAGAGATGAGCTCTTACATCACCCAAGCTGGTCTCAAACTCCTGGCCTCAAGCGATTCTCCTTCCTCAGCCTCCCAAATTGCTGGGATTACAGGCGTGTGCCCCTGCAACCAGCCTTTGGTTACACTAAAAAACAACAAACAAAACCAAAACCAAACTAAAACGAAATAAAAACATCACTGACTCTTACTGCTTTTGCTGTTTGAATGTTTTTTCTTTCTGGCTGCTAAAATATCCTAGGCATGAATACTGAGAGCAGCTGAAAATAATTGCTTATGTTTGAAAATATTATAATGAAAAAAGGTACTTCTTATATTCATTGTTTCTTGTAAATGCTTTGCTCCTTTGAGGACTCTTCTTTGAGATTGGAATATCCTTTGACAATGGTTCAGAATAATGTGGCAGTGGAGATAAAAGTTTTTACTCCCACCATTTCACTCCACTCTAAACTGAAATCAGAACATCCCAACAGGGCTCAACATTTCTACTTTCTTACAAGACAATAGTTAACAGAAACGTGTGTAATGCAGGAAAGAAATCGGATCCTATCAGGGTGTCCTGTAACAAGATTAACCATTAAAGACAGCTCCTCTTTTGCTGCCTGGAGGGCTTTTGGTTGGGTAATCAGCTGGTGAGGCAGCTGCAGCCAGTAGTTCTCCAGAGACGGCGGGCAACCCATGAGACTTTAAGAAACAGCATCCATAGCAGCAGCAGGTGGCTTCACCAGGCTGAAAAGGGGTCTGGGTGGAGTCCCAAAAATGTCTACTGTAGTCTGTGTCTTATATATTGGATATAAGTAGTTGATTTTGTGTTCGCATGTGTATGTGTTTTAATACTAAATTGAATATTCCTTTTAATATGCTGTTGGGAAGGAAAAACTTTACCCTCTTAAGGTTTGTGATGGGGGCCCGTGAATTAAAGAAACAAAAGACACAATTTGTATTAATATTTATGTGTATGAGAGTTCACAAAAGAGAAGTAACACTCAAAGAAGAAGTGGATACTGGGCCTATGTATCATTTTGACAAAGGAAAGGGGTTTTGAGCTTAAAGGGGTAACAAATTATGGGGAAGTGACAAACACATGGGGGGAAACAAATGGAAGAAAAGACTGATTTTAGTAAGTCGTGTTTATGTAGACTCTTGGTGCCACCTCTCCTTCTCAGGGATAACAGTCACGCTCCTCTTCCTGGGACAGGAGAGGAGGACACCTTCACAAAGTGAAATTTATGCCCTATTTGTAGGTGGATGGGGGATGGCAGAGAACTCCCTGCATCTATTCATTCTCAATTGCCTTCAGCTCAAAATAATTTTTATGCCAAAATGACGTGTTTGGGGGTATCATATCCTGACCCCTTCAGTACGAATTTAACCTAACTTTCCTCCCACCTCTCATAGATTCCATAAGGAAACCCTGTCGTCTTTTTAAAGATATCTCCCCAATTCTGCTGCTTCTTCAAATACCACCCTGATCCAAGTCCCCATCACATACTGCCTAGACTAAGACAATAGCCTCCAAGTTGACCAACCTATATTGTTCTCCAGCCCTTACCTCTGCCTTTTCTCTAAAATGGCACTTATATTTGAGATTATATAACATACCTATTGGTTGATGGTCTTTTTCCTTACTGAAGTGTAAGCTTCATGAGAGCCATCAATTGTGGTGTCTCTAGCGCCTGTAATAATGCTACTCGCCAGGTATACATGTAATCAACACAAGGTTGAACTGATATGGTTTGGCTCAGAGGAACCTGGTGGGAGGTAATCAAATCATGGGGGCGAGTCTTTCCGTTGCTGTTCTTGTGATAGTGAGTAGGTCTCAGAGATCTGAAGGTTTTTAAAATGGGAGTTTCCCTGTACAAGCTCTCTTCCCTTGCTTTCATGTGAGACATGCCTTTCACCTTCTGCCATAATTGTGAGGCCTCCCTAGCCATGTTGAACTGCAAGTCCATTAAACTTATTTTTAATTTTTATTTTTTTATAAATTGCCCAGCCTTGGGTATGTCCTTTTTAAATTTTTTAACACAGAATCTCACTCTCTGACCAGGCTGGAGTGCAGTGGCATGATATTGGCTCACTGCAACCTCCGCCTCTTGGGTTCAATCAATTCTCCTGCCTCAGCCTCCTGAGTAGCTGGGATAACAGGGGTGTGCCACCACACCCGGCTAATTTTTGTGTTTTTAGATGAGATGGGGTTTCCCCTGTTGGCCAGGATGGTCTTGATCTCTTGACCTCGTCTCGGCCTCCCAAAGTGCTGGGATTACAGGCCTGAGCCACCGCATCTGGCCAGGTACGTCTTATCAGCAGTGTGCAAACGGACTAATGCATGAACTAAGTCTCTTTGTCATATCTATGGAATTCACTGGCACGTTTGGGTTTATTCCTACTTGCTTAATTTGTGTTCTCCCACTGGGCTTTCTAGTTAATCAGTGGTTCATTTTTTTCCATTTTTACCTTCTGTAAGTTGGAAATGGACACATTTTATATCAAACACTTAAATATTTAACATTATCTAGAATTATCTAGAATTAATAATTACCTAGAAATTATCTAGAGTTAATAAGCTTTGTCTGCAATTATCTTTTTCCTTTGCTTTCCTCAGTCCCCCTGAGAAGACAAACTTTGCTGACCTTTTAGTTTTCCCTCCTTAAAATCTCACCTGCTTCCATTGAATTTAACATTGCAAGGGATTTTAAAACATAAGCTTAAATATTTACCACTTATTTTAATGTAAAAATAAATTTTACTATTGTGCTCATAACTCGTTGCATTACACCTCTCACCTCTTCCTCTTGGAACCTTCCCTCCCACTCCCCCATAATTCTCAGTAATTCTTCCAAGAAGGATCATTGGATAGTGAATTTTATGAGATTTTACATATCTGCAAATGTCTTTATTTTGATTTAATTATTTAATAATTAGAATTGATATTTATAGAGTTTTGGGGTCTGAGCTCATGAGATTTGAGGCAGTTCTTTCAAGCTGGGGAATTAATTGGGATTCTAATTATTAAATTCATTTTAATTTTTAGAAAGTTTTATAATTTCAACTTTTAGATACAGGGGTACATGTGCAGGTTTGTTACATGGGTAAATTTAGTGATGCTGAAGTTTTGGGGACAAATGATTCCGTCATCCAAGTAGTGAGCACAGTACCTAATAGATAGTTTTTCAGCCCTTGGCCCCCTTATTCTCTCTCCCTGCCAGGAGTCCCCAGTGTTTATTGTTCCCATCTTTATGTCTGTGTGTACCCAACACTTGGCTTCCACTTGTAAATGAGAATATGCGGTATTTGGTTTTCTGTTCCTGTATTAATTCACTTAGGATAATGAAGGTTGCTGCAAAAGACACGATTTCATTCTTTTTTATGGCTGCACAGTATTCCATATGTATATGTACCACATTTTCTTTATCCAGTCCACCATTGATGGGCATCTAGGTGGATTCCAAGTCTTTGTTATTGTGAATAGTGCTACAATTAACATACTCATGCATGTGTCTTTTTGGTAGAATGGTTTGTTTTTCCTTTGGGTATATGCCCAATAGTGGATTGCTGAGTCTAATGGTAGTTCTGTGTTAAGTTATTTGAGAAATCTCTAAACTGCTTTCCACAGTGGCTGAACTAATTTACATCCCCACCAACAGTATAGAAGCATTTCCTTTTCTCTGCAGCCTCGCCAGCATCTGTTAGTTTTTGAATGTCTTTATTTTAAAGCAGGTGTCAGCAAGCCCTTTTAAATGGTCCAAACAGTAAGTATTTTAGACTTGCAGCCATATGGTCTCAGTTGCAATTATTCAGCTCTGCCAAGGTAGCGCGAAAAAGCAGCCACAAACGATACCTACGTAAATGAATGGGTGTGGCTGTGTTCCAGAAAAATTAGTAAAAATGGGACTGGTCCATTGGCTATAGTTTGCTGACTTCAGTTTTAAAGGATAGAAAATTTTAGGTTCAAAATTATTTTTCTTCAGATTTTGAAGATAATTGCTCCAAGGTCTCCCTGTGCCTGTGGTTGTTGTCAAGAAGCTGAGGTCAGTCAGATTTATTTATTATTATTATTTTTTTTGAGATGGAGTCTGCTCTTGTCACCCAGGCTAGAGTGCCTTGGCTTACTGCAATGGCTCACTGCAACCTCCACCTCCTGGGTTCAAGCAGTTCTCATGCCTCAGCCTCCCAAGAAGTTGGGATTACAGGTGCCCGCCACCACACCCAGCTAATTTTAGTATTTTTAGTAGAGTTGGGGATTCACCATATTGACTAGGCTGGTCTCAAACTCCTGACCTCAGGTGATCTGCCCACTTCACCTCCCAAAGTGCTGGGGTTACAGGTGTGAGCCACCGTGCCCAGTCATATTCTTTTTTCTTTATTAGATAACCAGCCTATTCTTCCCCAGAAGATTTTAAGGATTTTCTTTGTATTTTAATGATGAATTTTTTTTCATGGATTTTCAACTGTCTATCAATATATAACCTTTATATATATCTATCAATATAACCTTTTGATAAAGCAAAGCTAAGTGTATTAAACTTGCTGTAGTAAGGGAGACGATCCCTTTGAGATCTTAGCATTGCTTCAAAGGGAGAAGTCAGGAGAGGATATTTATAGAGTTTTGGGGTCTGAGCTCGTGAGATTTGAGGCAGTTCTTTCAAGCTGGGGAATTGATTGGGATTGAGCAAAGTTTGTAACTAATAGTTTAGGATTGTGGCCACAGTGAAGCAAGGGGCTCAAAGCAAATATTGATAAGTAAATTGTTTGATAAAAGAGCTCTTTGCCCAGATGAAAACGTGGTTGTCCTGTGAGGAAAACTGTTTGCCCAGATGCACAAACTATTTGCCCAGACAAATTGGTTTTCAGGACTTTCCCAAAGTAAATAGCAGTTATTTATTGGTTTACAGCTTTATCTTTCTGGGCAGGCATTTCCTGGAGCAAATACTTAAGTCATGTTGAAACAGGTGGTCTTTGTCCTTGGCCCTCATAGTTAAGCCATGTGGATGTAAATGTTCTCTCTTCTGTTCTGTGTCTGGATAATTTAAAAATGTGTATACTGCTGGATATTAATGGCTTCTTTCAGAGACCTCATGTCTACATCAGTTCTGTACATTTCTAATCAATTGTTTCTTAAAATTTTATTTACTTGTAATTTCTCTAGTCTCTTCTTTTGTAATTCCTATTACATTGGTGCTGAGACTAGAGTTACTCTACAAATCTCTTAATTTTTGTGTCATTTTGAGCAAATTCCATGGTTCCATTTTCCAGTCGATCTGCGTCTCAGCTGTGATTATTTTGTTTTTCACCCACATACTAGGTTTTTAAATCTCAACAATTGAAGTGCTCATGTCCAATTTGATTGGTTCTTTCTTTTTTTTTTTTGAGATGGGGTCTTGCTGTGTTGCCTATACTGGTTTTCAACTCCTGGGTTTAAGTGATCCTCCTGCCTTGGCCTCCTGAGGTGCTGAGATTATAGGTATGAGCCACCACACCCAGCCTCTTTTTATTCTTGTGATTGCACACATTATGTCTTCTATATATTTAAAGATACTTATATGTGTGCGCCCGTGTGCATGCACACACACTGCTTCTATTCGCCATCCTGCTTCTTTGAGAGTTTTTCCTTTTTCACTTATTAATTTCTATCTTCTGATGCACCTGCTGAAATATTTGATTCTGCTTCTGTACATCAATGCCAAGATTCCCTGTTAGAAGATATGCTACAATAGTTCATGCAGATGATTGAGGCCAGGTGGGAACTGCCATTGTTGCTGCTGCGTTACAGTGGTTTAGCGAGCCTGGCAGAGGCTTCTGTGGTGTGCCAGGAGATGGCATCTCACAGTGGATCTTTAAGGCATACCCGGAGCACTGTGCTGCCTCTCTTGCTCCCCGGGTTCCTGTACCTGCTGCTTTGGGGAAGGCACGTGCTTGCATCCATGGGCACAGGCACCCTGCTCACAGGCTGCCCTACCTCGCCACCCTCTCCTTCGCCACTCTGAGTTCCTCCTCCTCTTTCTGGATCTTCCCTTCTTGGTCTGTTGCACCCTTAGGGCTCACAGCAGAATCCTCCCACTCCCACTTGGGCTGTAGGTTTTCTTCTTTAATCTATGTTTGCCTACTTTCCAGCTTTTAGAGATTCTGGGCTGGGCACGGTAGCTCATGCCTGTAATTTCAGAACTTTGGGAGGCGGAGGCGAGTGGATCACAGGGTCAGGAGTTTGAGACCAGCCTAGACAACATAGTGAAACCCTGTCTCTACTAAAAGTACAAAACTTAGCAGCCGGATGTGGTGGCGTGTGACTGTAGTCCCAGCTACTTGTGAAGCGGAGGCAGGAAAATTGTTTGAACCCGGGAAGCGGCGGGTTGCAGTGAGCCAAGATCGTGCACTCCAGCTTGGCCGACAGCAAGACTTCATCTCAAAAAGAGAAAAAAGAGATTCTGTATGGTTCTGGTTCATCCAGAGTTTCTGTTCTTCTTTCCAATCATGACTGTGCACTTATATGTTTACTTTTTTCTATCTTTTTAATGATTTTTATGAATGCCTTGTAGGAGGGATTGGCAATATGTTTTGAAACATTTTTTAAAAAGGATCGAATGAAAGTTAATTCCAAGCCACCATCTTAAATAGTTGGCAAAAAATTCAGTCATTTGGGGAGCACTCCATTATGTAGAAAGGTCCTGGGGTATCATAAGCAGGAATAGATACCCTGGGAGCTGACTTCCGGTCTCACCTGGTTACCCCTGAGAAACCCATTACTGAGGCCCACTTCTAGTTTTGCAGCTTCTGTGCCATCCAGAAAACTCTGCCAAAGCAGTGGTCTGGCCTGGGAATCCAATCTCTGTCTATACAATAAGAAGCCATTTCCCCTGAGGTCTGGCTGCTATCCTTGGCCATTTTGGGGGTCTTGGTGGGTTGGAAGTTCCCTTAGCTCTGTTCTAGTTTTCTAGTATAGGGGACTCTCCCTTACAGATGATCATTCCTTTTATGTCCCCTCTCCTTTTTCCAAACACCCGTTGTTCTCCTTTATATCTTGAGGATGTAATCTCCAAGAGAGTGATAGGATTTGAGAACTGTCTACTTGTGGTTATATTCATGGGGGAAGAAAATACAAAGGCTTTCTTGGAGTGGGCAAGGAAAAATCCAGAGAATAAACCACAAGTAGATTTCATTCTCAGCTGAGCTATCAGCCTAAACACATATAGGTGTCATTTCCACGGGCTCTCTCCACATGGGCTGGTTTGGGCTTCCTCACTGTGGCTGGGTACCAAGCACCAGCTTCCCGAGACAGCAAGGCAGGAGTGTGTGGCACATTTAAGACTTAGCTTTGGAAGTTCATGGTTGCTTCACTTATTATATTGGTGACAGCAGCCCAAGTTTTGTCCATATTTGAGAAGAGAGGACTGAGACTACCACCACAAGAAAAGTGTCAAGGTGATGTTGTCAGAAGGGCAGGTGGGATGGGACAGGTTGTGGTGGTGATGTTTGGAAGACACCATGTGACACAATCTGCCCTTTGGACATTCTCCTACTTATAAAATATGTTCTCTCCCTTCCCCAAGAACTCTCATATTAGTTCTTTTACAGCAGGGGAGCTTTCGTCTGCCACATAAAACATCACCTTCTTCCTGAACTGCACCAAAATAAACCATGCCTCTCTGCATATGGCAGCTTCAAGACAAAGCCTTTAGTCTCCATCAGCAGCTCCAGAAAGGTCCCCAAATAAACACGCAATCCAATTAAAACCAGTGTGCTTGCTATATAAGTGTGATGTCAGGACTCATGTCTAGTCCTTCCTTTTAGCTGCTTTGTTCCTTCTGTGCAGATACTCTGGAGCTGCCGCTGCACAGCAGTGAAAACAAGCTCAACTTCATGTGTCAGTAATCACCTTGCAACATGTTATACCCTGGAAATAAATGTTAATTTGAGTATCTGGGTGATTAGATTGTTGGTAATTTAAAAAAAAATTTCTTTGTTTCTAATGTCCTAAACATTCTTTTATTTTTCCTTTCCTTTCTTTTCTTCTTCTTCTTCTTTTTTTTTTTTCAGACAGGGTCTTGCTCTTTCACTCAGGCTGGAGTCCAGTGGTGCCGTCACAGCTCACTGCAGCCTTGACCTCCCATGCTCAAGCAATCCTCCCATCTTAGCCTCCTGAGTAGCTGGGACCACAGGCATGTGCCACTATACCCAGCCGATTTTTGTATTTTTTGTAGAGACAGGGTCTCACCATGTTACTCAGGCTGGTCTTGAACTTCTGGGCTCAAACTTTGTAGAGACAGGAGTCTCACCATGTTACCCAGGCTGGTCTTGAACTTCTGGTCTCAAACTATATGCTAGCCTCAGCCTCCCAAAGTGCTGGGAGTATAGGCATGAGTCACCATGCCTGGCCCTAAACATTCTAAATTTTCACAGGGAGTATAGAAAACCACCTACAGATACCCTCTGCATGAGGCACCTTGGATTGTCCATCCAACACCACCCTCTCCCCTTCCTCTTTTCTCCTTACCTATTTCTTCTCTCGTCTGGGACTAGGGACTTAGCCTTATGTGCTCTGTTCCCCAACTCTCTGGCTTTGGGTTGGTTTGGCCAATTGGAGGTACTGGCAGATCAGTGGCTGGAAGGAGAGAGCAGTCGGGGTATTTCTTTACCTGCTTCTTCTGTACTGTGACTCTGGTGGCGACCACATCCTCCAAGCACAGCTCCTGCTGAGCAACACGCCCTCAAGGCGCTAGGTTTCCTTGGGTTCAATTACACTGTTTTCTCTCTTTTCCTCTTTAGGCCAAAGGGTGGTAAGTGTTTCTCACTGTTGCTCTTCCTGAGTGTCTTTATATCCCTGATTTGCTCCCTGAAGTGCCGCCCATCCTCTGTAAGCGATTCCGACATTAAATTCTCTCCATCACTGTGGCGGAGTGGTCTGTTTACCGGCAAGCCCATGGCTGACTCGCCACCGAGGAGCTGTGGGATATGGCACGAGTCCTTCCCCTTTTGAGCTTCTATTTCTCCATTTTAAAAGGATGAATTTGGACTAGACTGCTGTTTATTAAGTTTTATTTCATGTTAATTAAAGTGTTCTTTAAAAAAGGAGTTCCACTGCTGTGCGCTGTTGGTGGGAATGTGCAATGGTGCCACTGCTATTGTAAACAATACGGTAGTTCCTCAAAAATTAAAAATGGAGTTACCGTAGGATCCAGAATTTCCACTTTGGAGTATATATCCAAAAGAATTGACAGCAAGATCTCGAAGAGATATTTGTGCACCTGTGTTTCTAGGAGCATTATTCATTATAGCTAGGAGGTGGCAGCAAGTCAAATGCCCGTCAGTGAATGAATGGATAAATAAAATGTGTATTCATACAGTGGAATATTATTCAGCCTTAAAAAGGAAGGAAATTCTGACAAATGCTGTAACATGAATGAACCTTGAGGACATCACACTAAATAAAATAAACCGGTCACAAACAGATAAATACTGTATGATTCCATGCATATGAGGTACCTAGAGTAGTTAAATTCATAGAAACAGAAAGTAGAATGGTGGCTGCCAGGGGTAGGGGAAAAAAATGGGGAGTTTTTGTTTAACAGATAAAGAGTTTAAGTTTTGAGAGATGAAAAATTTCTGGAGATTGGTTGCACAACAATGTGAATATGCTTGTCATAACTATATGCTTAAAAGTGGTTAAGATGGTAAATTTCATGTTATACATATTTTACCACAATTAAAAAAAAATTAAAGTGTTCCATTAAAAAGTTCTATAGTTATATTAGGTTTGGAAAAGGTAGCTATACATACATATATATTTTAAATATTCATCGTTTACAAGCCCCCTAAGAAGTGTTCCCCTCCCCACCCCGCTGAGGCAGAGTATCCCTTGTTGCCCAGGCTGGAGTGCACAATCTCGGCTCACTGCAGCCTCCACCTCTGAGGTTCAAGTGATTTCTGGCTAGTTTTGTTTTTTTAGTAGAGACAGGGTCTCACCATATTGGCCAGGCTGATCTCGAACTCCTGACCTCAGATGATCCTCCCGCCTCATCCTCCCAGAGTGCTAGTGCTAGGATTGCAGGCGTGAGCCACCATGCCCAGCCCCCTGAGAAGTCTTGAGTAAAAATAATCTAATATCCTCTGTATAAAATCACTTCCCAGAAAAAACTGACCATGGAGAACATCGTTTTAGATGCAAGTGAGGAAAACCATCCCTAGGATCCTTTGTGGTTCTAAGTCCTGTGGCTCCTTTTCTGAGTCTGAAAACAGAGTGAATTTTGGTCGCTATTATTTCCGGTGTGTCTTTGATGCCTTTTCCTGAACTCACGGATTCTCTCTGTCACAGATGTGTCTGGATGGTTACAGACGGGAGCCTTTTCCAATGACCGGAATCCATACCACAACCCTGGGATCCCAAGGTAAGCTGCATTTATTTCCTTGGGCTGTCTCTGAGTATTGGGTAGAAAGGGGCTTTTTGAAATATTTGAAGGTTGCTTGAGTATAAATGTTTTATATGTGGATGGCTTTCAATTGTTCTCTTTGTTAATCACAACATATGGTATTCAAAACCGGGGAAAAAAGGGAAACTCCTAAAGGTGTTCAAATTTCCTTATTGTAACTTATTTAAATGTTTTATGAACTTGGAAACTTTTATAACAGATTTTAAAAATATGATTACGTTTATTCTGAATTTGACTGCAATAATTTGTAATCTGATATAGACCACATTCAGTCAAGTTGTACGTAAAAACTTAAGAGGTAATTGAGGTAGAAAGATTTCTTTCTAAGGATAATTACCTGGTAATTAGAGTCATTGTAGATTTTATTTTCAAAATACTTCAAGGAGATCGGTAAGAATGGAAAGTTCCAGCACAATGATTATGCTTTAGTCAGAAAAAGATATTTGGACCAAAATAAATATTTGGGTTACTTGAGTCCGTGCATTGAATTGGCCTGGTAGGAAACCAGGGAAATTATTTGACTGTCATAGGACCACCCAGCATTCTTTTTCTTTGCCCATCTCCCATCAGAGGGCCTAGAAAAGAGAGTCATTGGGGATCCTGTTCTAGCTACTTGAGAAAACAGGAAAATGGCAAGGAGTTGTCACTCATTAATCTGGTTGTTCCCTGTTTCCTTTCTTAGGAATTGTGCTGTGAGAATTTGGTGTTTAGGGCTATGGTGGCCACCTTTCAGCTAAAGGGAAAAGGCCAAGAATCTCAGAGTGGTTGATTTAGAGTCCTGGAGGGATCAGTTCTAGAGTCACCTGTGCCTAGACTTCTCACAATGTGTGATAACTAAATGCCTCTATTTTAATAAATTCAGTGCAACAGATGTTTATTGGCTTCTATTATCTTAGTCACTGTTCTAAGTACTTAGAACAAAGATCATTGAGTTTCATAGAGCTATAATCTAGACACTTTTAGTCATATACCCTGTTACCTACAGCTTAAAGCATTCTCGAAAGTCCGTGGTATAACCTAACCTATTGTGGGTTGGGTGGCATGGCATGCCAGAGCTGACTCCTAATAGCTTGAGAGAACTAATTGTTAAATTTTCCAGAATGTTTAGCACTTGTTAAACACGGCAGATTTATTAAATTGTCTAAACTTATAATCAAATGGTATTAAAAATATGGTAATTAAACCCTCAGTACTTCCTACTTATTTTAATATCATCTGACCTTTTGAATTATTTACATTTATTGTACTTACATGATGCAAATAGTATATAATGGGAACTACTGTCGATCTCTTTCCAAGTCCATGTTCAAGGACATCACCTTGGCAGCTTGAAGTCAGCCAAGTGGGGATATTTGTGCCATGGAAATTGGTAGCTGCTATAAATCGAAGTTTGATTTACTGTTCTGATGACTATAGATTTAAGAACAAGATAGAGACAATGTTACCCGTGTTAAATTTAAAGACTGTCATGTCTGTAGCCATTACAGTGTCAATAGCACAAAAATTTGAGGAAATATTCTTTTAGAATTAGAAAACTGTCACCTGAATCAGCAAAGAAGTTGCTCCAATCATCGATGACCAAATGATGTTCCTACATATATCTTCATTATTTCACTTTCACCATACTCATTACTGCAGACAAAAATGTCAACATTCTAATCAAAACTACACTCATATATCAGCTGCAACTGTAAGTTGGCTATGAAAACAAGAGCTTGGCAACAATCAAGGAAAGCATTCTATGAGAATCAATTGGCTGTATGGAATTTACAATGAATTCTATACTTTATCATTTGTAAATTATGTGATACACATTCTGTATATCAGTAAAATCAGTAATCCTCTCATATATGTATACATTTCCATGCATTATTTGGAGTTCCAGTTGTTGAACATTTACTAGCAGCATACCACTGATTGGGTGGGATCAAAGGGGAAACAGGATAAGAAAGCAAGTAACAGCAATGGACATTGCCTGACTTCTCAACCTGAACGGTTTTGCAGGATTGCTCTGGAATCCCTGTTCTTAGTGGCCCACACATGTTGCCAGGCTTTGCATCTAGCACTGGAAACAAATGTCCAAGCTGGTCAGAGACATTCATTTAATCCCACTGGTTACTGAGCCCACCCAAATAGTCACCTACCAGAAGAACTATATAAAGTCCAAACCAGATGATTTTGATGCAGTACACTTGATTTGGGCTATAAAACTGTCCACAGAGCACGTGACCCAATCATTCAGGCCCTCAAAGTATAATGTGTCTTCATAACACACACCGCCATGTACTGTATTAGGCCATACCTGTGCAACAATGAGTATGTTGAGAACAAAAAGTAAAACACACACAAAAAACACACAAAGATATAAAAAGGTGTTTTGGGATACACCCTTGGTCACATTGCCCCTTGTGAAACAAGGACTTCACTGATAGGTTCTGTGCATATGACTGTTTTTTCTTCCTGGGGAAAAGGATGGAATGTGCAAATGCTGATTATTGAATGAGTTACCACATGGTTGTGTATATCCTTCCTCAAAAGACAAATATCTCAGCCTGGGAAGAATGTGTAATGCTTGCAAAATTCCTTAGAATTTTTAGGATTTCCTCTTTGTTTAACAATGTTGGTGACTGATGGTTGATGTAGCCGCTGGAGAAAGGCTGCCCATTAGGCTTTATTAAATGAAAGAGATATGATTGGATTCATCATGACAGAGGCTTCTATGGGGGAAACATAGAGACACCTTCCCTTTGGGAAGCAGCTGTCTGCTAGAGTCTGTGGAGTTGGGCTATGACTTACCTGCAGAAGCTTCTTGTCCATTACAGGAAGAGCCCAGGTCTATCTGAATGTCTGCAAAGAAGAAATTCATTTCAGCAGCAGAGAGCTGCAACCAGTGTGTATAATTTGTGAATCACTTGTTTTGGATTAAGAATTAGCAAAAGAGGAGAACAACCATTGACTGCTTTCCAGTTCTTGATGTATTGAAACTTACATCTCATTTCCCTTTTCCTATCCACCCCAATCCTATTACTTTTTTCTTTTGAATCTCATGTCTTTATTACAATTCCCATGAATGGAACATAACTGCCTGGGCTTGAGTTCTTGTCTATTAACAATAAATCTATTTAATTTACATGTAAGGTCTAAAGTGGGGAAAGGCAGAAAAATCTTTTATGGAGACAGATAATGAATGATACCTTCTAAATGGTAAACATGTACTTGTTGGAAATGAGCTCAGCTCACTCAGAAATCTCGTGGGAATGAATGTTTCTCCCGACTTAAGAGCACACATATCTTATTTCCACATTTAGGGAGAAAGGAATCATAGAATCATGGAAAGAAGAATTGGGCAGATCCATGACCCCACATTTTCCTTCTGCTGCTTGCCACATCAACTTGGGCAAGCCACTTGATCCCTGTGAGTCCTATATCCCCATCTGTGGAATGGGGATTAT